GAATTGCCGAGAAGCTATTCCTTCGGGAACCCGTGAATTCTCTTCTCTCGTTAAGGCTGTCCAAGGGACCTTCTGTCAGCTATCTCTTCCATCTGTGCACAGGAAAGACGTCTCACTGGCCCATGCCGCAAAGGAGAAAGCCGATCTGTTAGGCACTCTCTTTGCGTCCAACTCGACTCTCGATGACGGGGGGAACACATCACCGACCAGCCAGATGAGCGGCTTACACAGCGCTCGGTTCGCAATGCATTCCTCTCCCTGAACGTCAGCAAGTCGAGAGGGTCTGATGGAGTCCCTCCCATTGTCCTGAAGACGTGTGCTCGGGAGTTGGCACCAGTTTTATCGCGTCTTTTCCGGTAATCCTACTCCAAAGGCGTAGTCCCGAATTCATGTAAGACAACTTTGGTCCACGCGATCCCTAAAAAAGGTGACCGGTCAGACCCGTCTAACTACAGGCCTATCACCATCACCTCCTTTTTGTCCAAAATAATGAAGTCTATTATAGACTGCCACCTAATGAGGTACTTTGAGGATCACCAGCTGATTAGTGATCGCCAGATCGGCAGATCGGAGCATCAAGGTCGTTGTAGACGGATGCTCCGACTACAAGCCTATTAACACTGGTGTTCCACAAGGCTGTGTGCTATCACCAACGCTGTTTCTTCTGCATATCAATGATATGTTGCAAACTGGTAATATTCATTTATATGCGGATGACAGCACTGGTGATGCTCTATACACCGGCCGTTCCAATATTTCTCGGGAAACGTCGCCGAGTACCGGGAAAAACTTGTGTCTAAAGTCTTTGCTGAACAAAGTCTCGGATTGGGGGCGACTAAATCTAGTCCAGTTCAATCCCCAGAAGACACAAGTTTGCACGTTTACGGCTAAAAAGAACCCCTTTGTCGTATCTCCTCAGTTTCAAGGCACTGCCCTTGTTGCCTTAGCTAGCATCGGAATCCTCGGCGTCGACATATCGAGTAATGTGCAATTTCGTGGTCAGTTGGAAGGGAAAGACAAATTGGCCTCTAAAAAGCTTGCGAGACAGTATTTCATGCCCGCACATCGCTTGCAACTTTACAAAGCGCAAATTTAGCCTCACATGGAATACTGTTCCCATCTATGGGCCGGGGCACCCCAGTGCCAGCTCCTTCCACTTGATCGCATACAGCGCAGAGCGGTTCGAATTCCTTCTGATCGGCTTGATTCGCTGGCGCTGCGTAGAGATGTTGCATCCCTTTACATTTTCTATCGAATCTACCGCGGGGAGTGCTCTGAGGAATTGTTCGAATTAATTCCAGCCGCCAAATTTCACGATACCATCCTCACCATCTAGATGCTTGGCGGTCCACCACTGTGCGTTTTACTAGGAGTTTTCTTCCTCGTATAACTTCTCTGTGGAATTCTTTGCCACTAGCGACTTTTTTCCGGACCAATATGACTTAGGGACCTTCAAGAAAAGAGCTTATTCCTTTCTAAAACTTGCAATTCCCCTGGTGTTGCGGTTGTTCATGGGCGGCGGTAGTCACTAACCATCAGGTGAGCCGCATGCTCGTTTGCCACCTCTTATACAAAAAAAAAATTGTAAAATTGATGCAGTAGAAATGCAGTCATTGTGAAGGTGTTAGGGCGGACTATGAATGATAGAGTGAGAAATTGTGGAAGAGTGTGCTTTGCAAGAAAATGTTGTGACTAGGATTGAGAAAGAAATGCTCCGGTGGTGTGGACACGTAGAGAGAATGAATGAGGCAAGAGTAATAAAACAAAATGCTGCAGAATTTAGTGGCAGAATGAGCATGGGTATCCCTAGACGGAGGATTATGCCAAATTAAAATACTCCTAACCGACGAGCATGTATGCGTATATATAGATATATGAATGTGAAGGATGCGAGAGAGGTGTGTCAGAATTTTGCGAAATGGAAGTCTGTAGTCTCTGCCTACCCCTCTGGTGTCAGGCGTGAATGTTTTATGTTTTTTTAATTATTTAAATTTAAAAAAACGTTTGAATTTTAATAATTTCTAAAGTATGCCTGTGGGAAACACACTATGCTGAAGAATCTATAGACTTTAAGAACTGTGCTATATTCCCAAAGCATGCATGCCTTTATTACAGTAGCCATAACGTATCTGACCCAGTTCGTTTTTTGAATAAGAACCCTCGCATTGCGCTACAAATCGAGCTGATGTAGGCTTTCAAGAAAAATATATAGTTCGCTGCATAGGAGGCATTCCGTTCGTTTATTGACATTCCTTTGTCTTCCTACATACATCTACGTATAAAACATATAATAAAATTCAAAGGACACGTTAAGTGATGCATGTTTAGGGATTTTATCGCGCTCTATTTAAAATTTTTAATTCCCGACATTTCGGTCACTAGAGGTGTTTGACGTTCTGATGTCATAGTTATTCCGGCCAATAATTTATACTGAGGCCCGGCTACCTTTAGCTTTTGATATTAATTTTTAATATTAATAAGCTGAAGGTAGCCGGCTATAATATCGCCTCTGTAAAGCACTCATAAATTTTTATTAACTAAATTTAATAGTGTCAATTTTTTTTATAGATTAAGGGTGACAAGCACACAGTCCACTGGGTAGTAAGTGAATGCTGTACTTCCATCCTAGATTCAGAATATAAATATACTCGTAGTAATAAAAGCATAGTAACTATAGTATAAAAAACTAGTAAGGCATCTAGTACTCTGTGGGAGCGTGATCGTACCCTGGTCTATTCTTTTTTTTCATTATTCTGTGCCCCGGTTGAGGCGACCCATTATATTATATTATATTATATAGCTGCATACATAGCCAACCTATAGCCGCTATATATTAAATTAAGAATAATAATTAAAGGCAAAACTGATAATAAATAATAAGATAATAAATGATACGTCTAATGGCGCGTCTCCACCAAAGTTTTATTGTCAACACAACAGTTGCCAACTTGTGTTGCCAACAAATGTTTCTGTAATCACCTAGTTTTAGCAACAAAACGAAACAATGTCGCGAATCGTGTTTCCATTTTCGGCGGCAAGATCAAAGGAATACGCTTGTTGCAAACATTTGTTCCCTCGGTGGAGACGCTTCTTGGAACATTTTGAAACATTATCGGAAACAAATGTTGGCAACTTTTGTTGATTTGTCAACAGTTGGAAACATAAGTGTTGTAAACATTTTTGGTGGAGACGCGGCTTTACTCGTTTAGTGGCGTCGTAAAAGAATCCATTACCATATATCATCCCTTGTGTGTCGGTAGAGGGAAACTCAATCAGGAGATGAAAAGGATCATGTTTCTAGTAACCACTGAAAATAATAAAATGCGGTTGTCAACCTGCCTAACAAACGTGACAACTATCGCACAATCCCCCAAAAGAGACAACCTACCTAAATTATATAAAATACTAGCGAGCCGCCCCGGCTATAACTATTATAAGTTAATTTCAAAAATTGATAATAATATCTAATTTTTTTTTATAGGATCGGGTGTCAAACGAGCACACAGTCCACCTGATGGTAAGTGGTTACTGTGACCCATAGACATCTACATCTATCCTCAATAAAGACTCAAGATGCAGATGCGTTGTCACCCGTGAGGACTAAGATGGAATGCCTCTTTGCCAGTAAAAAGGGTCTCCGGTTATCTACACTCACCATACGAAACACAGCTATTTTACGCTGGTTTTCTGTGAGAGCGTGGTCCTTCCCCGGTCGAGCCGACCCATTTGTGCTACAACCATAATATAGCTGCAGCATAACTCTACCACATAGGAATTAAAAAGTTATGTTTACTTTTAGACTACTGCTGTGCGTAGTAATGTTTCTAATTTAAAGTGAAAAACAATAAAACCATAATCAATACGAAAATATAAAATTATCAAGCAATGAGAACAAAATCTTAATAATATGTATGTTGTGTTTTTAAAAAATATTATTTTCATCATAGAATTTTATTGTTTCAAAATTTCGCGGTAAATCATTTAAAGTGTTTATGTTTAGGTGAAGTAATCAATAAAATATCGATTCAAAAATCGATTCTGCCCTATAGAATAGTTTTGTATGTTTTACCTGTGCTTTTACTTATAAAAGTTAGAGTAGATAAAACTTATGTTTTCGTCTCAACCGAAGCTATGCAGCTTATTGATGTCTAAATGATTAGTTATTAATGCTTTTTGCTATCATCAGGTATAATATATACCGATTGTTGGTAAATCTACATTTTAAATTAAGATCGAATATTTTAAAGTAAGCATATACTCGTATTTTGGCTTTTAGCTTCTTAAGTATTGTAATAGAGAATAAAGTATTTGAGTAAGAAGGGTGTAGCCACGCTGGGTTCCTGGTAATATTTTTGCTAGTCGAAGTTGCGTGGCACGCAAAGTCCCAGTAGGAAAGCCTGCGCAGAACATTCTCCGTTATTTCGTTAGGGCGCCGGGCGTTGCGGACTGTGGCCCTGCCTCCTAGAGTAGTCTGCTGTTACTATGATTGCTATGAAAATTTTTGTTCTTAGTTTAAATCAAATAAATTTACTTTTAAAATACTCTTTGAATTGCACTACTTAAAAATACAAGTAATTAATATTTTAAAGTAGTAAATTATTATGTTTTAATTTGTTCAAAACCTTGAAATTTATTTTACAATCACGGCTAAAATAAATAAACAACAAAGAGCGCTGATGTTTCTAGACGTTTTGCAGAAGATTTATTAGTGTAAGGTGTTGGAGTGGAATATAATAAATAATATCTTATTCATAAGTATTATGTACATTATCTGCGAATTGCCTTTATCAGTTGCTCTTTGTTTTAACTGCTCAGAGTGGTCACTGCTCAGTAAAAATCGCTATGGAGCTCATCTCTAGAAGTGGGCCATCGGCGCTCGACTCTGCGCCGCGCGGTGACGCATTGCAGGTGCGCCGTGGCCAATCGGCGCGCGCCGCCCGCCGCTCCACGTCGCCGCGCCCGCCCGATATAAAACCGACTATCCTTTGCGGATTTAATCTAATCCCGTGTTGTGCGTCCCGAGACATGGACTTGAACGTCCGAGACTTTCGCGCCTAAATCGAGGATACAAAGTGCGAGACTAAGCGAGTGCAAAAATCGGAAAACGGACATGAGAATACGGCGATTCGATTGAACGACTCGGAACGATTCGCGCGGCCGAACTCGGAACGAATCGCGTACGCGAGTTTCCCGGCGCGGCCGCTCGTGCGAGTGAGGGCGGCAGTATCGTTTCAACCGTCGGTCTGTGTGGTCGCTTTTGCGGCGTAGTCTGTGATTTTTAGTGTAGCTCCAGTTAATCCAAGTTAATCTACAATGGTGAGTGATATTTCGACAAGAAATTTTCTCCAGTGTCTTAGGGAGACCTTTTCGAAAGGCATTCTTAGTATATTTCGGGGTTGTAGTGCATCGGTGTTTATAGTGATGACGGCCTCCATTATATTGTGATGGCCGTTTTTTACCGCAATGCGGATCGTCAACGTCGCCCAAGTCTAGTTTAAGATGAAGATTAAACTGCTGTGCCGAAAATAGTGGGCGAAATAAGACTCAGAATCGATGACGAACAACTGTTAGTGTATCGAGAAACATCCGTCGCCATAGTTTGCTAGGTGTTGCCGGTGAAATGACGTTTCCCTGGATATAACCGAATGTTCGATGACGGCTTTAAAATGGCGCAGAACGAGTGTTGCGCCGTTTTCTAGTTGTTTTACGATGTAGAATAATTATTAAAATCGCGTCGCGCCCTGTTGACGGCGGATCGATCGGCCGGCGCACCTGTCAAATGCCCGTTGACTCATCGCATAGCCCGCGAGCTTTTTATTTTTCATACGCAATTATTTAAACTAGTTCTGTAAGCTTGCTCTACCCGTACCAGTAACTGCAACGCTGAGAAAAATGGTAAAGTAGGAAGTTTAAAGACATCGCTAAAGTTCAAATTACCGGCGACAACCTAGTATGGTCACTGTATCATTTATTGCATATACTTTCTGTTCAGTGTAAGCTCACTCGAAATCGATCAAACAAATGTTTCAATTTCTTATTTAATCGTATTATGTAGATTTAATAAAGTTTACATCATGTATTTATTTAAATATATAAATATGATTTAACTGGTAAACAACGCTGACTGGCATTCAGTTCGCCCATTGTTACCTAATATAAGATATGTAACAATAATATAATAAATAAATATATTTCTATAATTTAAAGAATAAAAACACATGCTTAAAAACTAATAAAATAAATTACATTTTTACTGTGAAACCACAAGAACAGGGCCTGAAATTAACCCTTAAATAATTACTACTTGTTCTTCCCTCCCTAAATAACTTACCTAAAAAGGTACTCACTTAAAGGTTTATCAATTTAAAAACTTAATTCTGTGAAGTAGGAGCAACAATCATAAAACTGCTGGGGTGTTTTAAAGACAATAGTTGATGTAACAATAGTTTGTCTTGTAAGCAAAAATTATCACAATCATTTGTCACTGTCCTGCAGTACTTGTCATACTACTCCATTGTATTGATGATTAAAAGACAACTTGTAAGTTTTTCAAAAAATACTACCATAGACTACTTAGCAAAGCACTGAGTAGTGATAGTAATAAGTTGTCTTCAAATATACACTTTTCTAATGACCACTTATATTTTTCAATAAGTACTTAAATTGCAAGATTATTTCATTAATCTGTACCAATATTTAGCTCTAAATTTTTATGTATAAATAATCTATTCTTATGCATATAAATGTAAATATATTCAGTAAATTTAATAATAATTATATGATAAGCAATTTTGATTTACTAGGTTGTGGAACTCCTTCCTAGGAGTCGGTCTGGGAAAATATACCCTTGTAAACCTAAGTACTAAGGCTTTACAAGGGTATAGTGAGCCAGCTTTATTACAGGCTGTGAGTTATACTATATTATCTCTCTCAGCAGTGACAATGCATCTGTAAACTTCTTTGTTTGAAATTGACTGTAGGTGCCCATGAAGTGCCGTAGTCACTTACCATCAGATGGACTGGGAGTTTATCATTTCAGTTTTATCAAAAGAGTTTTATAAAGAAAACACAAGTTGAAGTAGTTATTGCTGGGTTATGATTAAAATATTAAATTATGTAAGCCAATTAAGTACCTAAGTTTTTTTTACATATATTTACATAGAACTTTTCATTTCTTTGTAGGTACCTATAATTAAGAAGCAAAACTACCAAAAATAATAGACCGGTTCTGCTTTTTATAGTTTTAGATTTGCCAACATTTACATGGGGGTTGTTTATGAAGATTATAAACCACAACCTTTATAATATATCCTTCTAGGACTCGTGAAACCTGAATCAAATTGAACAAATATACAAAAAATTATGAATTAGATTTAGATATTTGGCAAGGTCTTCCATGTATGTTTATAAAATTTACACAAACTGGTAATTATCAACACACACTGATAATATGATTACATAAGTACTGGGAATTCAATTTATTTCAATATAACATATCTTAATATGTATCTAAGCATAGATAAAGTTTATTGTAATGCAGTATTTGCTATCAGCCCCATAGTCCGCATTGTGACGTGTCTTACATTATAATTACATTTATCTTTGTAATCTTATCATGTATGCTTCATACTATCTTCCATTTACTGTTTAGTCTCCGTTTGTTACTGTAGAGCTTAAAATATCTGGAGAAAATGGTTGTTTCTGGTGTATGTGTTTATTATTAACAATCATGTTTAAATTAAAATTTATTATATTCAAATTCCATCAGTATTCATGTATTATAAGGTCCTACTAGATTTTATACGATCTTTGAAAAAAATTGTCTAATTGGTACAAGTAATTTCTTTCAATATTGATTATTATTTAACTGATTTAATTTGGTTACTGTGGTGGAGAAGTGTTCTTTTAATCTTAAAAAAAGATATTGTATATATTAAAATTATTTAGATCATAGCATACCTGTATGTTTTTTTTAATCAGTGTGAATGTGAAACTCTTTAATGATTTCTTGTTTAAGCAAACACTTCAGCTTTTTATTTTTTCTCTTTGATTTATCACAAAGACCTCCCCCTGAAAATTTCCACTCTTCTTCTTTGTGTTTTCCACTAATGTGACCAACAATTCCCTAATCTTACCAGGCTTTTGTCTTTTTTTCCTTTTCTGAGGTATCATAATGCAATATACGTTATTATACTTACTTCTTTTGGCTAGGCTTCTTACGAGATGACGAAACCAGTTCACCTATTTCTGTTAGGTACTTTAAACTTTTCAATTACTACATACAGTAATACCACGAGTAGCAAAATTCAGGGTTTTATATATATTGAGGTTTCATTACTTTATTAAACTAAATTTAGAATATTTTATTTTATTATTTATGAATGACATAAATACTGACCTTTTCTAAAATGTTTTTGACTGGATTGCCAAATAAGAAAAAAAATTTTTTTATATAAACAAGTCAAGTTTGTCTTAAAGGTCAGTTATTGTTTATAATTAAATAAACTATAAAGTGTGACAATTATTGCAAATCCTTTCTACATTGGTATAGGCGCAAGTCTAGCAGTGGACTTTTAGGTGCTGCTAAAGTAAGAAGAAACTGCAGTTATAATTATGATAGCTATGAATAGTTGTTCTAAAACTGAGATTTTACATTGCAGGCGGACCAGCTGACAGAAGAACAGATTGCGGAATTCAAAGAAGCGTTCTCACTGTTCGACAAAGATGGCGATGGTACCATCACCACCAAGGAGTTGGGCACCGTGATGCGATCCCTGGGACAGAACCCCACTGAAGCAGAGCTTCAAGACATGATCAACGAGGTTGATGCAGATGGTAAGTTGACATATTTTATCCTACTATATAAACAGGTATTTTGTGTAGTTTCAACAAAGTTTTGATGTTAACGCCGAGGCTTGGCCATGGTGTTTAGTTATGTTTGAGTGTCGCTGTGATGTATCTCTTTTCAGAATAATTATAATTAAAGTTGTATGATCATGTTTTAAAATGTGATGGTTTGCTTGACCATCATCGTCAAACTACACTGCTATGGATATTTACATACACTTCGTTACAAGTTACTTTACGAACACTTAAATTACTGTTTTATACAGCTTTTTTTATTTTTCTCATCTTAAAATACAACATTGTACTTATGTATTCAGCATGGAGTGGCGGTATAGGGTAATCATCACGCCATCTGGTCCCGCGGGTACCGTAAGAGCCGATAACGACTCTAATTTAACTGCAGTTGTGCCAAACTATGTTCAGCTTTGGACTTTTCGGACTGTGATGGATGTCTGAATGTATTCAACAGTGAATTTTTGAGGGGCTGTAATGGATGACTAATCAAGTGTTCTTAACATATCTCAAAGAAAAAACCTTAATTGTAAAATAGTTTTGTACGCAGTACGTTGTAGAGCCATGTTGCAATTGGGACGACTCAACCAAGGTAGGACCACACTCGCAAAACAGCAGCTCAATGCTGCCATGTTTCGTATGGTGGGACAACTGGGAACGAGGCCACAGCAACCACTTACCATCAGGTGGACTATATTGTACTCTTTTGGTCACCCATATTCTATAAAGCCGTTGAGTATTGTGAAAAGTCAATGTATAAATAATGTTTGTATAATCAGATTATTTTTTACTATACATTATTTAAAACACATTTGGAGATAAGTGAATGACGTAAAACATTATTTAAGCCTCTTATCACGACGTGCCAGTGCGACGAAAGCCGCTGCCAAAAAGCTTATCAATTACCTTTTTAACGGAAAAATATGGACTTGGTGAAAATCTTTACACGGCCTAGTTTCTAGGTCTGCCTTTATCTGGAACATATTATGAAATTGAAATTCAATATGGAGGCTCAACAATAGACTGCTACCGGCATACGATACGAAAAATCGATAAAACACAAAGAAGCGACACTCGATAAGTCTCTTATAAAATATTAAAATATTTTAGGTAAAACGGAAAGGACGCGAATGAATATCTGTCTTATTTCCAGCCAGTAAGGTACATTGTACAGGTTTTTAATCAAAATTAGTGTCGTGCGTTTTATTTTTTAGTTTTCCGTTTTTATTAGACTGTATTTTATGCCAGTTGTTTTTTTTTTTAAGTTTTAAGGAAGATATTTTTATTATAAATTTATTTTTTTACTGTTCGTCGTTTTCTTAGTCGTATATTTAAAAGTAAAGCACTTGTGGGTAAAAGTAAAAATATAAAAACAATAAAAAAGAAATTATAAATGTAATGCTACCTACTACTACTAAGTGAGGGAGATGTGTGTGGAGAAGATAAGTGAGGGACCGGATTCGAATTTATGTTCCAAAAGTCGCACATATACTTACTATTTAGCAGTCATATAATAAAGTGGTAAACATTAAAAAAAAACCAAAGCTAGTTAGCGATAAAACTGAATTCCTATCCGATAAGAAATATCGTAAAATACCTAACTCAATCGGCCTTTGAAAAGAATTATAGTGTTGAGTGCTTTATAGAGCGACTAGTATTTTTAATTTGTTACTTAATTGCAACCAGTTTGTCGTGATTTTACGTAACACGGGCCGTAAATTTTAATCGTACAAATTTTAGTTGACATGATAATCATTACAGCGTATCACAATCTGCTACCTGCAACCATCGATTGCCTGCAAGGTTCATCAGGAAATTATTTCAACTAATTGTTGTGAGCGCGACAGTTAATCATGAGATACCGAGTTGGCCCAAAAAAACGGTTAAGATTTTTCCGTTAAGAAATTCTCAGTGGTAGTCCGGAGTGTAAGTTGTTGTGGAATGAATGTGAGTGGAAGTTGGCGGTGTTTCACCGTCGTGCCTCGGAAAGCACTTAAATCCGTTGGGTCTGCGCTTAATCTCCCTTCGGTCGTTTCGGATTCCCATCCCATGTGACTGTAAGAATGAGGGAAGAGGGTGCACCTGTGTTTGCTCATACACTCGAGCTCTCTAAGCGCGTTTGTTGTAAATTTCATAGTAGTTTAATCAATCCCTGCCAGCAGCACATAATTTTTTTTATTCGATTTTGGAATTTTATTTAACTGTGCTCTCCGGTGAAGGGAAAACGTTATTTGAAAAAAATTTCGAGTCCATGTAAAGTGCGTCATAACTATAGAATAAACATAATTTATATTATTTTGATGTTTCTTTTATCATTTGGCCGAAAATTCGTATCTAATATGGAAACCTAAAAATATAATCACGCGCTTTTGTGTGGTCACAATGTCTCGAAATAAAGCTTGTATTCATGAGTCAAAACGTACCAAAACGATCCAATCTATTTTGATTGTTGTACGTAACAAAATGGTCTATCCTAGTGGTTGTCTATTTTTTTTTTACAATCGAGATTGGTCGTTTTCACGCGAAGATTATCACTTATCAGTAATCGATGTGTTATCGCCAGCTATCGATTATTGCTGATAAACTCGCTCTATAGACTTTATAGTACTTTGTATAACATAATATATTATAGTACTTCGGTTTCATATCTAGAACTACAAGCCTAATTTCAGTAAGGCTAACAAACGAGCACACAGCACCTGATGGTATGTGGATACTGTGGCTCATAGACCACGTCTACATTTATCCTTGATTAAATATCAAAATGCAGGTGCGTTTTGAGGACCCCAGAGGACTAATAAAGATTGTCTCGTATACAGTAAAAGGGTTCTTACATGAATTAGGGATTACTAATGGAATTAATAATATAAAGGTTGTTTATAAGAAAAAAGTTTATTAAGAGGAGGTAATCTCAAACCTTAGGAACTATTTCCCAATATTTTTTCACTGTTTGAAAGCTACATTGTAAAGTAAATAGCGTCACGCCTGTAATCCCTGGGGACAGGCAAAGACAAAAAGAAACTTATTTGTATACGAATGTATCTATTATATACTTACATAATACATAAATATATGATGTTGGAAGTTATACGCTTCATTTCTGGCGAACGAAGTTGTCAACTCTGCATTTTATTGCGTCGAAAGTAAATTCCGACAGCTCTTATTTTCAATGCTAACTCTCCATTTGGAGTATATTGAAATTGTTCCACTGCCATTTTGATCATATTTAAGTAACTTCATAAAAAGAATAATACACAAAACCACAAACAATAAAGACTTGTTAGTACGGTGAATTGGTATGAACATGTTACCTCGAGGGGGCGGGGGCGACAGCGTTTGATTTGAACTGATCGATTTGTTTTTTCATATCATAACGAAACCTACACTATAAATGTGTTCTCTGCATGAGCTTAAAATAATAAGCATTTTCATTTGATTTTTTTTTTATAGAATTAGGGTAACAAACAAGCACACAGTACACCTGATGGTAAGCAGATGCTGTGGCTCATAGACATTTTCCTCGTTTCCAGTAAACTCTTCAGTAGGTTATCCACACTCATCATACGAAACACAGTAGCTTTAAGCTGGTATTTCACGCTGGTATTATGTGAGAGCGTGGTCCTTCCCTGTTCGAGCCGACCCATTCGTGCCATAGCCATCAATATGCTCAAAAGTTCTCATTCTGCTGGGATGATCCCAGTGTTCTCGCTAGGATTATCACAGCTCATCATCAATGCGTGTTAAGTTCTTTTAAACTCAATATTATTATTCGATCTGGTAACCCTATGCGCACGGTTATCCGGCAAGGCGTGGGCGCCGTGAAATACTGTCGGGGGAGTCACGTAGGCCGTAGTTTACATCGTACTTTATCCCGTTGTAAATATTTTTCATAGCAACGCTCACGCGGAACGGAATGGCGGTGTCCGTGATCGATGTTGCGCTTTTTTAGTTAGGGTTCCTCAATCTTAGTAAGCGAAATACCACTGACTCATTCAGCCGTACACCGTGTAGTGGCGGTGTAAGAATATCCACTACCCCATATCGTTCCGTGGGTGTCGTAAGAGGTGACAGAGGGAAACAAATCAGGAGATAAGCACCAGCGTCTTCCTAATAACGACTAAAAATAAAAAAAAGCTGGGGCGGCTATCGCACGCTTGCCTAGCGTGGCAATTTATGGGGAGACATAGTGGACATTGGATAGGCTGTAATATATTGGTAATGGTAAAAACTAGCTAGCTGATCGGACGTTTTAAATTCAAGTGTTAAAATTTAGGTAGTAACAATAGTCTCCAATACACTGGAAATGATTGAGAGCAGTTTCCTAGTCAAATATTCGTGAAAATTCATACATGATTTCAAAGTAGCATTCGTTTAGACAAACTGCGAAGATAGCGCGGCCAAATATTGGTTTAACAAAGCGTTTGGACTATATTATATCGCGCAGTTTCAATATTTGCAAACTAAACCATAGCACACGCAGGTCGCATGAGCCGATAACACGCAAAATCACGTGGACACTGCAAGACTTTGAGAGTCCTTGCAAACGTGGCCGAATATTTTATTTTTTTATTTTTAAAAAAATACAACAAACCTAACATTACTAATATCCCCTTTAAGTGTGGAGTGGTTCCTTACAATCGACACTGAGAATTGTCGAACTGCGGATTCGTCCAGTCTCCGTGTCGCCTGCGACCTTTTGAGTCGTGGTCCAGTCCGCACCCTGACATTAGGGCTACTGTCGCTTGAATTTAAAATTAATACCCCTAAACTATAAACAGTTGTGCGAATTACATGATTTCATTCCCTCCGCCTCTTTCCACCATCGGACAAGCTGATTCTGAGCCAGATGTCCACCCGTTTTGTCGTCAACGTTCGTATTCGAACTAAACTAATCCATATGGGCGTGGTAAGTGATTACGACGCGTTTGTTTTATAAATCTTATCGAGAAGTTGCCTGGCTCTAGTTTAATAAACGT